GGATCCAGCGATCGGCACTGGGGCGCAGGCAGCCTCCTTTGTAGCTGTCCTCTCTCCACAAGTGCCCCGGCTTGATTTATTCGTATTTTTGTTTTGCTGCTTTTAAATTATAACCCCTCCCCTCCTTCCTCTCCAGGATCCTGCTGGGATTTTTGAGCTGGTGGAAGTGGTTGGAAATGGCACCTATGGACAAGTCTATAAGGTCGGTGTGGGGCGCCTTCTTTGTTTCCCGTGGCATGTTGAAACTTCGTGTTGGGAGACGAAGACAAGGGTGATAAACACGCTGCTGACTGGAGGCCACGCCACTTGGCCAAAGTTAGGAAAGGGGTTTCGCTACGACGTCTCTCTGTTTCTAAACAGAGTTTATATTCAGATTGGCCTTAAAAGACCTCATTTCCTGGCTTTGAGATAAGGAAATAAACGACACTCTCAGGCATGTACTTTTTTCAATAAAGTGGAAAAACATTTTTCATAAAACAGCCTTACTTTCCCCCCCCCCCTTTTCCAAAATCTGGCCACCTGAATTTGTGTGCTAACTAAAATTCAGTAAAGGCACCCCTAGTTTCTGATTTTCTTAAGTCTCTGTTTTGGCCTTCTTGAAAATGGTCATCATGTTTCCTCGTTTGAATGCCTACCCTGTGCTCAAGGTAGTTTGGAGCCAACTGAGACTTCTTTATAACTCTTGCCGACATACACCGTACTGATGGGTAATATATTTTGGGGATGTAGAGGGAGGAATGTGTGTTTTGAGCAACAGTGGAAGGAAGACTTACTACAGATTATAAAATCTGAATTCCAGGAATAACCTGTTTGACAGGTGTGTCATTGAAACAGAAGTGAGTGAGAGAAAGGAGTAAAGAGGTTTCACACCCATTCTGGGTCTTCCTTCCCACTCTCAGTTTTTAGACATCCCCCTTTCACCATAAATGAACAGATCTGGAGACAGCGTGAGTCTGACATGGCGAGCTGACACCTGTGTGACTAACAGTGTTGGTCATATTACCAGGTGTGCATTCTAAAGATGAGGAAAGAGCTGTAGGTATTGGAGGAATTAGATTTAGAAAATGTAAAACCGAATAGGTTCTTCCTGTCCTGTTTTATCCCTTAAGATTTTCCTAAAAGTCGTCTGCTTTGGAGTTTTCTAGTTGTGAGAGGTAGAAAATAAGAAGAAAGGCTTTATGGCTCACTGTGAAGAATTGTCATTGTCTCATTAAAATGGAGAGAGAGGGAGAGAGCTGGTAGATTTGGAAGCCGACCATAGATATTTTCTTAGGCCAGATTAAATGTGGATCCTGTTCTTTTTCTCTGCATTAGAAGAGAGTTGATCCATCATTTGAACACATCTCTCTAACCCCAGCTTCCCCTGGCTGGGCAGGCCTCGGGTCTGAAAGTCAGTATTTTTAGGTGATCTTGAGTGAATTAGCATGTGTTTTGTTGGTTAACTGTTGGGGCTGAGGCCAAGTTTTTGAATTTGAGAGGGAGCCCTGTTAACTTTGGCTGCTGGACTTAACTGAAGTTGAGAGTGTTTGGAAAATTTTGGAAAAGATTGTGTTGCAGTTCACCGAGTGGCCTGGTAACTGGCTTAAAGTCGTTCCCCTAGCCCTGGTATTAGTTTAAGCACCAGTTTTGCTTTGTTTTTTTATCTAACCCAGTTTTTCTGGCCAAATCTAAATGGTCAGTATATTCCAAGTCAAAACTCCAAGCATAAGTTTTTGACCTGGTTACACAGTAGTTGAATTGTTTGTATCTAATTTGCTCAACGTCTTTGCTAAGTACAGTGAAATAAGCTGAAGGCTTCAGCCAGTTTTTAAACTAAAAAAAAAAAAACAAAACAAAACCCTAGGGGAAAAAAAAACCCCAAAACCCTAGTGTTTATGAATTGTTTGTTAAGAGGTGGGAGCTCTTCTTTATGGTAATGGTTTAATTATATATGTTCATTATTGAGTTTTCTCCCTTCCTAATTTCCGCTTTGCTGGTGCCATTCTTACCCCTTCCCCAAATGCATTTAGGAAGTAGTTGGGGTATTCCTAATGATACATCTTTCCGACTACAGAAGTCTGTACAGTTGAGAAATGCTTGTAATTATGCAAACCTAAGAAATTAAATCCGTGTAGTAGTATGATATTTCAGAACAAAATTTTGCTAGTTTTATTGAAGTTACTTTTATTATAGAGATTTTTAAGCATACACAAATAGAGTGAAACACGCAATTTAATAATTACCATCAGCATGTGACTAAACTAGTTTTACCCATATTCCTCTTTGTCTCCATTATTGTAATTTAAATCCTTATGAATATCATGTCATAATCACTTCACTATCTCTTATGTATTTACAAAGACACTGCTATACCTAAGACAGCTTTAATGTCACATGTCCAGTGTTAATATTGTCCTAGCTGTCACAGAAGTTCTTTAATTTTTTTTTACAGATGGATACTAGGGAGGGAGTTCATTAGAGGGTGTGAAAGAGAGATAAGTAACAACTTTGTTTTCTATTCCTTTGAAATAAAAACTTCTAAAGCCATGCACTTTTGTGCATAAAGGTTTGTTGTAGATTTTTGTTGACATAATTTACATATGATAGTTTGGGACTTAGATTATTAATGTTTCAGTGTTTGCTGCTGCCAAGCATCCATCAGCATGAATAACATCACATAATTATTTACAGAAAGTTTGTTTATGTGGTTTCAGGTAAAACATGCACTCAGTCTGACTCTCCTTTGAGTGAATTCAGACTTCTCTGCCACTTGGTCTGCTAAGTTCCGAACTCCCTGAGGCTCAGGTTACTGTCTGATTCCCTTTTGACACTCTTAACAGTTCCCTTCCAGAGGAAAATGAAGCCTCTCTGACCCTATCCTTGGAGGAAAGGAAGGATGTGGAGTTAGGAGATTGAAGGAGGGTATTCAAGGCCACAGGGACTGAATGGTTAGAAGAGCTAACAGTTTGCCACCTATTAGGCACTGTGCCTGTTTTTCTGAAGTTGGGTTGGAGGATAACAGAAGGGCTGAGGGTGGCCTTCGGAAATGACAGGAGGTTGAGGGAGTAGCGGGAATTGCTCCCAGAGATACTTAGGCTTAAGATGAAGATGGACTTCACACTTAAAACAGGAACTGATGGAAGTTTTACTGAGATTTATCTTTGGAATAAGTTTTGTTGTGAAGAACTTTGGCAGTAAGGGATATCAGATGGTTTTGTTTTGGGAAGTTTGGGGTTTGATGGTTGGTTTTGGCAGTGGACCAGGAGGGGGGGTGGCTGAGATAGGGCAGAGGCAGTGACCCTGGTAAGAGAGGGACCTTGTGGTGAATTTAGAAGTACACATGAAGAGTGAGTGTGGATTCTTGTGTATTCTTTGCTGTGTTCAGCTGACAGAATTTACTCATTCTTTGCAAGCTTTTTAAGGCGTTTTAAATGGGTATACTATTTGCCCAGCAGTTTGGGAGGAGCTTTGAGATTAACAGGGTGAAAGTGCTGAAATTACTTTCACTTGTTCAGAGAGAGTGAGTGCAGGATAAATTGCCTCTTTGAAATCATGACTCTAACGTTTTTCGAATAGGCATTTAAATTTTGTGTGTGAAGGTTTCTAAATACAGTGTCTTTTGTTCTTAAGTAAAGATATCCTGTGGAGGCAAAAATGAATTGTGTAGATGTTTTCATTAGGAGGAGGGTTAGTATAAGCCGATCTGTCCCCAAAATGGCATGTACAGACTTGTTCTGAGACATTGATTTCCTTCATATTGAAAGGGTTCGGAGCCTGGGTAAGACGAGAGGAAGTCCTGTTTAACAAGAATTGGTGTGTAGCTCCTAAACACTATCAACCACAAACTTCCAAAAGCAAATAAGTCCAACTATCAAACAAAACCCTGCTGATTTTTAAATGACTTACAGCTCAGGAGTTTATACTACATGTATGCTCATTTGCATAGCTACATACTTTCATTTTGCTTTTTCTCTGTCAATATCATTTGAGAGCTGCATATTTCTACATTTTGACATACATTGGAAATAATATCTGGATTCTTTTGGTACCATGTATATGTTTGTAGGTTTTTATGGACTGAACCTAGAAGGGCAGAGAGACTGGTTTGGAATGATACATTTATTTTGATGGTGGAGGAATGCTTTCCTGAACAGGTGTGCAAAGCTATGGAGTACAGAGAATACAGAGACTTCTATTCTTAGGACGTTAAAAATATAAACAAACGACATCTGACCTTATAGATCATTAGGTAGTTTTGCATATACATTTCTTGCATGTTCGTTTGTTTTATTTCTTGATTTATTAGTGAGAGGCTGTTACAAGGTCAGTCAGGGTTTTGATCTGTTGTACATGGGTTACTATGAGGTGGAGTTGACTTGATACTTAACAGCAAACACTTTTGCATCTGGATGTGAACGGCTGCTTGAGGGGAAAGATGGTTTGCTCTTGGTGCATCAGGTGTTTTCTATCTCTATGATTTTGATTCCTATACTGCTTGTTATTAGCATCTGCATTTCCATTTCATTGTATTTTAGTCGTTTAAAAAAATTGGCAGACAGCAGTCAAATATTTAGATAATTGCGCAAAAGGCTAAGGTGAAAAAGCTATAGAAGCAAAACTGTGGACAAGAAGGCAGCACTATGGCTCGATGACCTGGCAGGTCGATTCTCTAGCTCAGTTAGATCCATTATAGACACTGATGTAAGAGACACAGGTATGCAGCCTGTGACAGTGGGCAATGTTAGAGTCAAGGCCTTGTTTCACAGTAAATTTCACAAAATCAACCACTTCTAATTTAGAATTTTTTATTATTTTAAGTGATTGAAAAAAGATTTAGGTTTCTAGCCTGTTTCTAAGCCAAGCTAATCATTTGAGTTAGCTTTAAAAACTTTGTATTTATCACAAGCTAGTAGATAAAACATTGAAAGTGTCAGCCTTAACCTGTGTACTGAAGAGCAATGATGTCAGTCTGGAGACTAAGGGGCACCTGATACAGGCCATGGTCTTTGCAATTACTTGCTATGCATCAGAAAGCTGGACAATGATAGAAGGAGAGTTGATGCCTTTGAGCTGTGATGCTGGAGAAGAGTATTGACTATATCATGGACTGTTAGGAGAACAAATAAGTTCGTCCTAGAGAGGGTTAAGCCAGGCTGCTCCTTGGAGCAAGGATTCTGAAGCTTCCCTCTGACATACTTTGGACATGTTGCAAGGAGGGATCAG